AGAGAGAGAGAGAGAGAAAATCTCCACGCCCAACCAACGGCCTGGGTAAGGGTGACGGGCTGATCACCTGCTCCTCGCTCTAGACCCAACAGTACCATACCCAGGGGTTTAAACCATGCACCAACAGATGTGACGGGCTTGCATTCTGGCCTGCCCCACCCATGGCCTGCATCCTACCCAGTATGTAGAGTGCCGGCAGGCAGGTCGTGACTCGCTCGGGTTTGCCCGCTACCTAGCTTGCTCGACTAGGATATCCAGTGATACCTGCTGCTGTTACCCATGGACACGAGACGCGGCCAACATGGATAGAACGAGCCTAGTACATAAGCCACGGCGGCTCAAGGACTACAAGTGGTTTTCTGCGGAATATGCGGATAGCAAAATTACTACATACCAAGAAGCCGAAACCAACAAACGCGCCGGGCCAAGAGTGCCCAGCTCCCCGTGCCAGCGAGGTTGGTGAGCGACGCATGGAGGAACCGGACGACAATGGCGTTACAGCAAGCACCTGCAAAAAGGCCGCTTTGAAAATTGACGAGCGAGGACCCGGCGCCGTGCGCAATGTACCGCACCGCGCTGTTTCTGTGAGGCCAGGGAACAATTGGTGTGTATAGATCGTTATTGAGACAGATTCATGCTGCAGTCTTTGCCAGCGTCCAGAAGTTTGCCATCTTGACCTTTTCTAGCAAAGAACGAGCCTCGGCGTCGGTCTCGCACACCTTGCTCCCCCACTTCCGGAAGGCTCTGCTCTTCACCTCGCCATCAAAGATCAGTCGACACTCGTTGCTTGACAGATCCTTGAGAGCTCCCTTGTCGTCCTGGGGAGACAGCCAGTCTCGCGCGGGGCCACGCCCTGTAGCCTCCTTCTCTCGCGGCGGCGTGTTCTCGGTCCAGTTGATGCGGTTCAACATCAACTTCTTGTATTTTGATATACCCCAAGAGCCACCTTCCACTATGACTAGGCTCAACCTGGGGTGCATGATGCAGATACCCGTCAGGGCATGTTGTTCCGCGTTGACGGCAACCTTATAGCGGTGTTGCCCGTTGGCGAGGCTGTTGATCCTGAACACCATGAGGTGAAGACCTTTGGCGGCGTCCTTCTCCTGGTTTGCTGCCGTCTTGTCGTGTCGTTGCTCACGTGTGAGCTTGCGTTCTTCGTTTGCCCTTAGGTGATCCTCGTGTCGCTTGGCAATCTCCTTATTCACCTGCGCCTCTACGGCTGTGGGGTCCTTGACGGCCTGATCCGCCAACACCACCATCATGTTGTTTCTCGTGATCTTAGGGGGCTCGGGCGGCAGCAGGCCAAGTCGCACCTTGGCCTGCTTCTCCTTCAGATCAGCCGCACGTCGCTGTCGTCGCAGCTTCTTGTTCTCCTGGGTCGTCAGATACATGGGTTTTGGAGCCGGTATGTTTTTGTCTTGTGGCGGCTCCAATGCCACCGGGTGCTGGACCAGGTTGGTGACGATACCATCTTCGGTCATGATAAGAAGGGTAGCCTCGTCTTCAATCCTATCGTAATTAGTCCCATCCACCAGACCCTCGTCCCACCACTCAATCTCTGGGGGCGCCTCGGCAAATGTGGTCGGAAGGTCAAGATCGTCATCGATGCCGGCTTTCCGCGTCTGTTCCGCAATGCGCTTTTTCATGGCCTCGAGCGCGGCTTGTCGGCGTAGCGCATTTCCTTGTTGGATGTATTTGCCCTTTTGGTTGAAAGCCAGATGCCGTGGTTCCCTCTGTTTGGAGCTCTGTCCAGCGAGACTGGCATCGAAATATGGGTTGCTTCGCCCGTCGCCTGTCGATGCCCCGGATTTCGACCACGAGCCATCCTTGGTTCCACGCGCCTTGCCAGGGCCCGTTGACGCCGACGCCGAGCCCCTCAGGTCGGCGATCTTCCCGGCTGGCCTTGCTTGGTTGAGTTCTTCCAGCATCGGATGCAGCCCAACGTTGAGCCCACCTTTAGCCTTGCTGTTGCCAACTGCTGCAGCCACCCTCGCCTTGAGGGCTGCCAGTCTATCGGCAGCCGACTCAGGCTTCTGAATTCGGGATGACGGATCATGGCGCGGCCCTAGGCCCGAGGCATGGCTCCGATCCATATTGTTCGGGTATCTTTCGTGGTTGTTGTCGTCGTCGCGACTTCAAGTGGATGGGGAGCGGCGCGTGCCAGTGAGCGTGGCAAGATGGGTTATTGGCGTGTTCTTCGACTCACTCAAGGCAAGAGGGCCTTGGTGAAGAGGTGTGCGGGAGGGTGTTCATCGAGAGGTGCAGGAGTGGTTATCGATGAAGTGCTGGCATGGTTCGGCTGGACGTCTTGTTACAACAGGCAAAGGGAAGATGCTGGAACGGCATTGAGGATGAAGAAGCCTTTGGCCTGAACCCCAGTTATTTCAAGGTGCCGCCGGCAGCGCCAGGCCCACTCCGCTTAGCTAGTGGGCCCCAATGCCTGTCACCCAAGGTGAAGAAGAAACTGCCAGTTTTCACCGCCAAAAAAAATAAAATCGGCGCGCAGTGGACCCATTGATTTCCTACACCTCACTGGCTCCCCGCAAGAGACCCAGGGCGATTGGAGTTGTGAAAGTGTAGCAATTGTCGAGCTGCGGTCTCTCCTTCGTCGGCCTTCTCCGCCTTCCCTCGCTCTTCTCTTCTTGGCACCGTACTATCATCGTCCTGCTACTGCTTCCTCAGGTCGATCGCATTGGAACCCTTTCTCTCCAGCTAGGGCGCGGGGTGACCCTCCGCAGCAGCAGGAATCATGAATATCTCCCAGCCTGTGGTCTCATCGGTAGATAGTGTCGAGTTCACCTTCCTCTCTGCCGAGGAGATCCGGGCTTTCTCCGTCAAGAGGATCGAAAATGACAACACATTCGACACTCTGCTGAACCCTGTCCCAGGCGGTCTTTACGACCCTGCCTTGGGCGCCTGGGGCGAATCCCTGTAAGTCCCCTCGCGCTTGCATGCAATATAGCACATCGACTGATCTATGTGTTGGGCAACAGCTGCACAACTTGTAACCTGGGACCGTCGAGCTGCCCTGGGCACCCGGGCCACATCGAGCTGCCGGTCCCCGTCTACCATCCTGTCTTTATGGACCAGACGTTGCGTCTGCTGCGAGCGCAATGCGCATACTGCCACAAGTTCCGCCTGCGCCGTACAGAGATCCATCGCTTCGTGTGCCTCTTCAGGCTACTCCAGTACGGTCTTCTGGCCGAGGCACGCATTCTCGATGCCATGGGGGAAACCATACCCGGCCTCTCCACCGCCAACCGCCTGCGCCACGAGGATGAGTCCGAGTCCGAAGCAGAGGACGAGTCGAATCTAGAGGATGCTGTCGTCCGGAAGAGGGACTCGTATGTGCGCAAGGTTCTCAAGCGCCACCGAATTAGCATCGGCGAGATACGGAAGGGGAAGCACGAGGGCGCGTCTGAAATGCGCAGAGAGTTGGTGAAGGACTTCCTGAGGGACATCGCCAAGGGCCGTATATGCGCCAGCTGTCAAGGCATCTCGCCCACGTACCGGAAGGATGGCTTTGTCAAGATATTCGAAAAGCCCCTTTCATCCAAGGAGCAGGCCAAGATGGCACAAGGAAGCTTCAAGCTTCGCGACGCCATGGTCATCCGTCAGAAACCCAAGCGGAAAGACGAAGGCTACCAATCTGACGAGGCCATTGCCGACGTGGACATGCAGTCTTCCGATTCTGCGGGCGAGGAGAGCGGCGAGGGCGATGACCTGGATAAAAGCGGCAAAGTCGTGAAAGTCCCCAACTCCAAACAACCCAACAATGCTGGTAGCTCAACGACACACCGTTACCTCACATCGCGAGAAGTCATGGAAAGACTGAACCTCCTGTTCAAAAAGGAGCATGAAGTCTTGAGCCTGTTCTACAACTCTAAGCCCAGCAGCAAGAGCTCGAAGAAGCTTGCGGCCGATTTGTTTTTCATCCAGACCGTCTTGGTGCCGCCCAGTCGATACCGGCCAGAGGCCCGGACCGGCGATGCCCAGGTCGCTGAGGCGCAGCAGAACAACCTGTACAAGATGGTTCTTCGGAGCGCGAATAAGGTCACCCAGACTTTCCGCGACCTTCAGGATCCCAACAGCATGTTGTCGCGACGGCACGGGGGTGACAACACGGTACTGTACGAGGCCTGGACCGAAGTGCAGAACAGCGTCAACTCGCTGATCGACTCCACCAAGAACCCGGCCCAGGGGGCTGCCGCCAAGGGCGCCGAGGAAGGCATCAAGCAAAAACTCGAGAAGAAAGAGGGCCTTTTCCGGAAGAACATGATGGGCAAACGGGTCAACTACGCGGCCCGCAGTGTCATCTCGCCCGACCCAAACATCGAGACCAACGAGATCGGCGTCCCGCCCGTCTTTGCGCGGAAGCTAACCTACCCGGAGCCTGTCACCAGTCACAACTTCAAAGATATGCAACAGGCTGTGATCAACGGTCCCGACAAATGGCCTGGCGCTACCGCTATCGAGAATGAAAACGGCCAGGTGGTCAACTTGAGGAACAAGTCGCCGGAGGAACGTGCGTCGCTTGCTAACCAGCTGCTGGCGCCGACGAGCAATAACTCCGGCGGAATGCGCAACAAGAAGGTCCATCGCCACATTTCCAACGGTGACGTCGTTTTGATGAACCGCCAACCTACCCTGCACAAGCCGTCCATAATGGGTCACCGAGTCCGGGTCTTGCCGGGCGAGAAGACCATCAGGATGCACTACGCCAATTGCAATACATATAATGCGGACTTTGATGGAGACGAGATGAACATGCACTTCCCCCAGAACGAAATTGCCAGGACTGAGGCACTGCAGCTTGCCGACACAGACCATCAGTACATTTCCGGTACCGCAGGCAAGCCACTGCGTGGTCTCATTCAAGACCATCTTTCAGTGTCAGTGGCCCTCTGCAACAAGGACACTTTCCTTGACCGAGGTGCCTACCACGAGCTGGTCTACAACGCCTTGCGCCCAGAGAGTGGCCACATCCTCCGCGAGCGAATCGAGCTTGTCCCGCCCGCCATCATCAAGCCTTTTCCACGGTGGACCGGAAAGCAGGTGATCACGACTGTTCTACGCAACATCAAGCCCCTCGACTGCGGCGACTTGTGGATGAACGGCAAGAGTTCTGTGGCTGCGAATCTTTGGGGAGTACACGTCGAAGAGGGACATGTCATGTTCCGGGACGGCGAATTCATCTCAGGCATCCTGGACAAGGCCCAACTCGGCCCCAGCTCCGGAGGCCTGATCCACTCAGTACACGAAGTCTACGGGCCCGCTATTGCCGGCAAGCTTCTCAGCAGCCTAGGCCGACTTCTGACCAGGTATCTCAACATGCGCGCCTTCACATGTGGCATGGACGACCTAAAGCTTACTGCGCAGGGTGAGGCCGACCGGAAACGCATTATCGAGACTGGGGCGCACACTGTGGGCCTCGAGGTTGCGGCCAAGTATGTGAGCCTTGACAAGCAAGCCCCAGGCAGCACCGACCCCGAGCTTCTTCGTCGACTTGAAGAAGTTATGCGGGATGACAGCAAGCAGGAAGGACTTGACGCGTTGATGAACAGCGGGAGCAAGGACATGTCGACAGCCATCACCAAGGCGTGCCTTCCCGCGGGCCTCGAGAAGCAATTCCCCAAAAATCAAATGCAGGCAATGACTGTGTCGGGAGCCAAGGGAGGTCAAGTCAACGCCAATCTCATCTCGTGCAACCTGGGGCAACAGGTTCTAGAAGGCAGGCGAGTCCCGTTGATGGTCAGCGGCAAATCTCTTCCTTGCTTCAAACCATTCGAGACAAATATCCGGGCAGGTGGCTACATTGTGAACCGCTTCCTCACGGGAATCAGGCCGCAGGAGTACTATTTCCATCACATGGCTGGACGTGAGGGCCTAATCGACACTGCTGTCAAGACTTCGCGTTCCGGGTACCTCCAGCGTTGCTTGATCAAGGGGATGGAGGGCCTAGAGGTTGGATACGACAACTCGGTCCGCGACTCGGACGGCTCCCTTGTGCAGTTTCTATATGGCGAGGATGGACTCGACGTGGCCAAGCAAAAGTACCTCACTGATTTCACCTTCGTCCTCCAAAACCTCAAGTCCGAAGTCGCCCAGCTGAACATCGCCGACCCACGAACCGAGCCTTTGTTCGATCAGAGGGACGAGATCATGAAGCAGAATAGGTCCAACGTCAAGAGGGCCAAGGCAAACCCCATGTTCGCCGAGGATCCTGTCAACGCCATTCTCAACCCCGCGCTCCACGCGTTTGCCACGTCGGAGAAGTTCTTTGACAAAATGTCATCGTATCTCAAGGACAACCCGGATGGCCTTGTCAAGGAGAAAGACAAGGAGAAGAATGCACAGCGACAGGACCTATCTTTGCCATCGTCGCGAGCCCGCCTGGGCCGCAAGCTTGCGGAGAAGGTGCTGTCGGCCAAGTACATGAGGTCTTTGGTGCATCCAGGGGAGGCTGTCGGCATCGTGGCTGGGCAGTCGGTCGGAGAGCCTTCGACACAGATGACACTCAACACCTTCCATCTTGCTGGTCACTCGGCCAAGAACGTCACGCTTGGTATCCCTCGTCTCCGAGAGGTACTGATGACGGCCAGCACCAAAATCTCCACGCCTGCGATGACGCTGATTCTCAACGAGGAACTGTCCCATAGCGACGGCGAGAAATTTGCCAAGAGCATCAGCATCCTCCCGCTGGCTCACGTCATGGACAAGGTGACCGTCTTCGAGAGGGTTGGGGCGGGCATCGCTCACCCTCTGGCCAAGCTGTATGACATAAGGCTCCGCTTCTTCCCATCCACCGAATACACCAAGACGTATGACATCGGCATAACCGACGTGTTGGACACTGTCGAGGCGAAGTTTGTTGGGATTCTTAGCAAGTTGGTGCAGAAAGAGGTCAAGAAGAAGAGCTCGGATGTCAGCAGCGCGACTCCGGTGGTTGGCGAAAAGTCTGGCGTCATCGAGATGGCCACAGCAGGCCCGAGTGAAGGCGGCCGTGCTGGGGAGGACGATGATGACGAGAGCGAAGATGACGACGGCGACGCCACGGCTGCGAAACAGAGAGCGAACAGAAGCGAGGCGGTCTCGTATGGTCCCAACGACGACGAGGACGACGCGATCCAGAACGAGATGCAGCAAGATACCGAGTTCGACGACGAAGGATTTGGAGGTAGCCCGCCTCCTAGGCCGCCAAAGATGAAGATTCCGGGGGCTGATGACGAGCTCGAGAGGCTGGGAGGCGACGACGCGATGGTGGCTGCCGCTTCCAAGAACCGCGAGCGCCGGATACGGGATAAGCATCCAGAGGTGACGAGATTCCGGTGTGACGAGACATCTGGGGAATGGTGCGAGATGACACTCGAGTTCAGCGCCAGTATCCCCAAGATCTTGATGCTTAGCTTGGTTCAGGAGGCTGTCCGCAAGGCGCTCGTCCACCAGATAGCGGGTATCATGAACTGCACCTTTGTTTCAAATGCCGAGGTAACAGATCCGCGGACAGGCGAGGAGAAGAGGATGGCCGTGGTTCATACAGCCGGCTCCAACGTACGCGCCATGCAACAGTATGCCGAGTATATCAACCCGAACAGGATTTCCACCAACGATATCGCCGCGGTGCTGGAGATCTACGGCGTCGAAGCCTGTCGGAACAGCATCATCCAGGAGTTGCGTGCCGTCTTCGAGTCACACGCCATCGCCGTCGACAATCGACACCTCAATCTGATCGGTGACCACATGACCAAGAGCGGCGGCTTCACCCCATTCAACCGAATGGGGCTTCGTGGAAACGTAAGCCCCTTCACCAAGATGAGTTTCGAGACGACACTCGCGTTCCTGAAGGACGCAGTGCTGGACGGCGACTGGGACGACCTGTCAACACCCAGCAGCCGTATAGTGCTAGGAAGGCTAGGCCATGTCGGAACTGGTGCTTTTGACGTTCTGACCCAGGCGCCTATGAATCATTTTGATTCGTTTGCCTCCCATTGAGTCACATCCCATCGAGGCAGATGGACCAGCGGTTGTATGAGAGAGATTATGCCTGTGGCCGGTTGGGCCGCTGTGTACTTAGGTAGTTGGTCCAAGATATTTTACGCATATTTGTTTTCTGTGCTTGAAACAGCAGCTCTACGCATATATTCCGGATGCGACAACAAATGTGTGTAGCATTGCCTTCCAGCCAGCCCAACTTAAGTCTACCCGTTTTGTTCACAGCGGCATGATCAACTAAGATTGCAGTGAAGGTATCTCGGGCGTCCCTGCCATCCTTCCTTTGCAGTACCACGCGACGACCCGTGCGATCGGCTCTGGTCGACGCGCCGTGGCGCGACTTCGACATGCAATGAGGTGGGAACATGGTCAATTACGGTGGACTGTGAGTCTGAGAACGAAGCACGCGACATGACACGTCGGGTTTGTTTTGAAATGTTTCTTTCTTTGGGATGTAGTCTAGCGCGGTCAACTCTGCTGCCGGCTGTCAAGACGTGGTATCCCTAATGTACAATCCCGATGTAGAAAATCAACGCGCAAATAAAACGCCGGATATTATCCCCGAAACCCAGTACGAACCCGAATCAACAAGTGCTCCCACCATGATCATAAGACTTCAAAGCCAGTAGACGTGAAATTAGACTGAAGCAGACGATCTAGTTGCGCTCGCCGCGCAGGCGACGGGCAAGCTGGATGTCCTTCTGCAATGGAAGTCAGCGGCTATGTCTCATGTGCAGGGTTCTCAGAATGCCTCAATCAATGACCTACCGACTGGATGGTGACACGCTTGGCGTGGATGGCGCACAGGTTGGTGTCCTCGAAGAGGGAGACGAGGTAGGACTCGACTGACTCCTGGAGAGCGCCGATGGCGGAGGACTGGAAGCGAAGGTCGGACTTGAAGTCCTGGGCGATCTCACGAACCTGCGTGTCGCGTCGCGTGTCAGAAAATTTCGCGTTGTGTGAGATGCAAGGGTGAGGAATGGACGGAAAGGCTTACCAGGCGCTGGAAGGGCAGCTTGCGGATGAGCAGCTCCGTCGACTTCTGGTAGCGACGGATCTCACGGAGAGCGACGGTACCAGGCTTGTAGCGGTGAGGCTTCTTGACACCACCGGTCGACGGGGCGCTCTTGCGGGCAGCCTTGGAGGCGAGCTGCTTGCGGGGGGCCTTGCCACCAGTGGACTTGCGGGCGGTCTGCTTAGTGCGAGCCATTTTGAATGTGAAAGTCGCGGTGGGAGTGCGAAGAAGGTGGTGGTTGTGATTGATTGCTATCGGAATAGATGGTTGATTGGGTGTGTGGATTGAGAGTGAGTTGGAGGAGGGAAAGATTGAGCTTTGGTGGGGAGCGGGAGAAGTCCTTAAGTAGGGGCGGAGTACCAGTCGCGTTGGGTTGGCTGATTCGCCTGCACACGGGGTGTGGCTGCATGTGCCGCCCTTTTTTTTTCTCTCTGATTGTTTTGAGTTGGCAGAAGCGCGCCAAATTTGGGAGCAAAGACCGGGGTTTGTTGCGTTGCGGAATGCGAACCAAAAAAGCGGGTTTTCTGGCGGTGGAAATGCCACATGGGAAAGGGGAGGAGGGTGGTCGGAAACTGGTCCAAGCGGGGTCGGCAACGATCAGACGCACCCGCTAGGGTGGCAGATTTTTGATTGGCCAGCCTTGGTCAAAATCAAGGATGGACAGGGCCTCCAGCCGGCCGTCGTTCTGCCGTGATGGACGCAAGCCAGGGCTTTGTCCAGCCACCAACGAGCCCTTCCATGCAGCCCGTGGCTGGAGTGCTGGACCACACAAAGACGCGATGCCAGATCCATGTTACGCGTTTCTTCTTGGGCTATCTGGCATGCCCGTGCATAGCGACTCTTTTGGCCCATGTGAATGAGTCATCCAACTCGAGATGCTACACAACCGATCCCCGCCGCGGAACCGCGCGCCCGACGCTGGCAGAGCAACCCGTGCTAATTACGCAGCAAACCAGATCGGATGCGACAAAGGGCGGCTCTTGGCCAGGAACCCTTCTTCGCCACCTTGGACATAGCTGCCTAGCGCGCCCACGATCTGTCCGCATGGAATCGAGGCACGTGTTTAACGCGATATCCCAAGTTGCAGTGCAACCAAATCAAATCGTGCTCGCCCTCGACCACGTTGGTCTGGAGTGTCTAGCTGGAATGGTGGTCCACCTCGACAAGAGGTAACATCGGGGCTGGTTGCATTTGGCCAGTGAAGCTGGGCGATAACCATCTGTCCCTCGGGTTTGCTCATCACCTCTTTGTCTGACCCATGCAAACTGCAAGGCACATCCCCACACCCACCCGCGTCAGCTCCATCCAGCCCGTCGGGGCGAGATACCACACTTCTGCGCGTGTGTGGGGCTGCCCTTATTTTTCGCGCCGAGCCAGCCAGCCCAACCCAAATCACTGACTGATCCGCGTCTTCGGCAATCTCAGCATTTAAAGACGCATAGTTTCCCCACGTCCACAACTGGTCCTATATATGTTCCACATAGCAAAACCAACGTCAACCACCACTACACCACACATTTGCTCGCAGCCACTTCGTATTTTTCCCCAACATTAAAACAGCTTTCTCAATCATCCAACATGACTGGACGTAAGTAGCGATCTCCAACTGATACACTTAATATGCCGGTGAGCTAACCTTTGCAATAGGCGGCAAGGGCGGCAAGGGTCTCGGAAAGGGTGGCGCCAAGCGTCACCGCAAGATTCTTCGTGACAACATCCAGGGTATCACCAAGCCAGCGATTAGGCGTCTTGCCCGTCGTGGCGGTGTCAAGCGTATCTCAGCCAGTAAGTAGCATCAGTCCTAGGGTCTGTGTTAGCTCTGTCTTCGTCAGCTGATAATTCTTTCCTAGTGATTTACGAGGAAACTCGCGGTGTCCTCAAATCATTCCTGGAGGGAGTGATCCGCGACGCCGTCACATACACAGAGCACGCCAAGAGGAAGACGGTCACGTCACTTGATGTCGTCTACGCCCTGAAACGCCAAGGCCGCACCTTGTACGGCTTCGGCGGTTAAGTGGTTTCTTGCTTCGCGACTCTTCACGTTCTTATCTTCTGCGTTACGATTTCTTTGCGATGTGGATGCCACTGGTTTGTGGTGCGGTGAATAATGGGATCGGGGATTTCTTTTGGGTCTTTTGTATCATAAGGATTTTCAGTGGTGTTTTCGTTTATACCATACAATCGATTCCCGCCGCCTTGCCCGGTGTATTGAGGGCGGGCAACTTTCAAGTACTTTCAAGTACATATGTCACGGCCACTAGGGCCCTGACGGTAGATTGTTACTGTGGAGGTCACGTGTACTGTCACGTGACCCCATGCCACCTGATTAGGGCCTACAGGGGTGCCCCGCACCCACTAGATAGCTTTGGCACGTTGGGCCGGCCTCCGGCCTGACGCCTGCATATACGACACCTTTTTTCCAGACTACCGATTCTCACCACGTTACGTGCTTTGATAACATACGTAACGCCCTGTAAAACGTTCAAGTCGCTAAACATTGGGCTTGCATTTACTAGTGATATGATCTGGACCTGGAGGATTAGTTATACAACGATACGTAATAATGGAATTTCCTTGTGCTTTAAAGGAAGCGAGAGTTAACGCTGTAATACCCTAGCCTTTGCAGCACTTAACCCCTTTAAGTTTACAAACTTATAACGTTCCTACTGTATAAATTAAAACAAAAGCTAACAATAAGTTTTATAAATTTAACATAAAAGAAACTGCGGTTTTATTTGTTTTTATTTTATTTTATTTATTTATACGCTGTTTTGTTTATAAGAAAGACCTTAGTGCTACTGCTATGTATTGCGTGGGGAAATCCTTTGGGTGTAGCTTAAAGAGGAAAACCCTGCGCCTGCGGGCCGGTGCCGGCTCGGTATTAAACCGTCGGCGCCGTTTACTGTAATGCGCTTAATTGCTAATAAATGCTTCAGCAAAAAAAGCGGTTTTATACTTTCCGGTTAAAAGGGGTTGTAAAGTAAAAGAATGGCAGTAATATATAAAATAATTTAAAAAAATATATATACGAAATGTAACTTTATAAGAGCGTTATTGCTTTGGTGTAATTCCGGCGTTTGCTATATATAAATAAAGGTTTAACCAGTTGGTATAATTGTATAAAGCCGGCGCGTAGCGTTTTTAACCTTTACGTTATGCTTCCGGGTATAATTAATTTCCGGTGTAATATAATTGTTTTTTTTATTGTTCCGCTTTGTTACGGGACCAAATTAAGGTAGTACCCGTTACATTAAGGTAAAAAACGAACGTTGTTGTAGCTAAAGCTACAATTTATGCAAGGTTTTCATAAGCAACCGTACCGTAACACGCTTTTTTACCGTTAACCCATTACAAATGGCTTACTAATAATAACCGTTTTTATTCCCGTTTTTATTTATATTTTTGTTAAATTAATATTTAACCGCTTTCGTTAAAGTAACGGTGCTTTTGTACTTTACTATTTAAATAAGTATAATTTTATTAAAGTAATTGTATTTTAAAAGGCAATTTGTTAAGGGTTAATCGGTGCAAAGGCGGGTAGTTACCGGGTTACGGGCCGGATGCGGTATTTCCTTTGTTAAGCTTCCGTAAATTTCTTACCAAAAGTGCTATCGCCAATAAAAATTGTTTTTTTTAACCTCCCCTTTTTTCGTGCCCTTTCGGGCACGCGGGGTTAGTTTTATAAATTTTCCGCGCTCCATGCGCTTTCGTGCAATTTAAGCTTTACTTTATTTTTTAACTTTGCTATTATGCTTTGGCCGCGATACCGGTAGCTCGCCGGTATGTTCCCGAAAAGGTTTGTGCCCGGCTGGTTGCCAGCGCCCCTTTTTTTTTTTTTGCCGGGCGGTTTCGCCCGTTTTTTTAACGCCCTTTGCTTTTTGCCGGGCGGTTTTGCCCGTGCTTTTAACATATTGCCCCTTTCCGATACGGCTTATCCCAAGCCGCATATGCTGCGCGTGCAACCCCGTAAGTAGCCGGTAGCTTACGGTATTTCGCTAAGCCGCCCCGATACCCGGCGGCGCTTAAAAAAGCCGGTTGTAAAGCTTTGCTTTACCCCGAAAAGTGGGTTCGCGTTAATATAAAAGGGTTTTTTTTCCCTTTTTGCGGCCGCGGGCTTTTCCTTTTTTTTTACGCTCCCGATAATTATTTTAACAATTTTAACAATTGTAACCGTAAGTAATTAATATTTAACCGTTTTTTTTAAACATTTAAATTTAACCGGTAATTGCAAATGTTATTTTTCGTACCCAATTACGTAAAAAAGGTAATGTTTTTTCGGGTATTCGCTTTGGGTTTTTCGGTTTAAACCAACCCATTAGCCCCCGTTAACTCCCCGAACCCAATTAACCCGCTAGCCTTTTTTGGTTTTTCGGCCCTTTATAACTAGCGCCTTTTTGGTAACCCTTCGGTATCCTTTTTAATTATTATGGTTTAGTTAAATTCGAATTCGGATTTGCCGGAATTTCCAATCCTTTAAATCCTTAACAATTGCTTTGCCGGTAACCTTCCGGTAAGCTTTTTAAATGCCGCGGGTTTATTGGGCCCTTTTGCGCTTGCAACCCTTTAAAATTCCCGCAAACGTTTTGCCGGTAACCCCCCGGCGGGCTTTAACCGTTGCAGCAAAAAAACCGCCGCCAAAAAAAAGCGTAAAGCGCGCAACAAACGCCGCCGCAACGCTTTCGATTTTAATAAATTTATTCCCGAAACGGACATTGCCTTTTTTTCGTTTTATATGGGTATTTGCAATGCGCTTCCGTTGCAAAAGGTTATCGATTTTTAATAAAGCAATAATTAAAATTTTATTTATTTGCTTTTTTTTAAAAACAATTATACGGAACGTACGGTATTTTATAGCCGTTATTTTAATTGTTAAACATATTAAAATTATGCCGTTAACCTTTGTATACCGATATGCTTCGATAATTGTACGGGGTTTTCCAAATGCATTTATTGCAAAAACGTAATTAATAATAAAGCTTGCGTTAAACTTTCCAAATGGTTTTGGGAAATGGCTTAAAACTTTTACAAAATTTTAAATACCGTTTACAAGCAATTTTTTAAAGCAATACCAAAATTTTTCGAAAAGCTTACCAAAGCCCAATTTCGCGCCCGCAAAGTTATTTAAAAAGCCAAATTTTTTTATACCATGTTAACCAAATAATTTACGCGTTACAAGCGTTAAACCGTTGTTTAAAAGCGCATCGAACGTAAAATTGCCCGCATTGCAATATTGGAAATTACTTAAAAAATATTCCAATACTTTCGCACCATTTCCTTTTAAACAAAAAGGTAAATTTAAATTTCGGTTGTTATTAAAACCCGTTTTAACAAAATAAAAGCATTTTTTAAACGTTTCGAAAAAGGTATGGTTATTTTTTTGGTAATATTGCCGCTAGCTTTGTTATAATTGCAATGCATTTGGATATTTAAGCTTACAACCGCGCGGTTCCCCGTAAAAGTGCAACGTTTGTATCGGCGCCGGGAAATATTGCTTTCAGCGCTAACAATTTTAGCAGCAATAATTTTAGCGCTAACGAAAAAAACGTGGTTTTTAAAGGGTTTGGTTTTTTTAAATACGGCATTTAATCGATTTTTTTTTATATTTTCCCAATTAATTATTGGTATTCCCTTTTCGAAAAGTAATTAATTTTAAAAAGATTTTGTTAATTTATTACAATTAAAATTATAATTTCCTTTTGTTATATTGCTTTTGCAATATTGCAAAATTCCAATGTTTTTAATTACTAATTAAGCTTTAATGCCCCAATAAATAGTTTTTAAATGCGTTTTTTTCGTTTTTTAATGGGTTTAAATACCGCTAACATGCATTTGCCGTTACCCAAACGCTTAAGCCCGTTCGTTATATTATCCGGAAATTTTTTTACTTTTTTTTCGGGTAAGCAATGGTGTTTTACCATAACGTACGTTTAAAATGCGGTAATTGTTTAGCGTATTGCGTTAAGCATGCCTTTTACGGGCTTTCCAAAATGTATTACATTTTACATGTTTTTTGGAATTTAAATGTATTGTACCATTAATTTAAAGCGTTTTCCGTATTATACCATTTCCATTTAACTTTTTGTTTATAAAATACAATATTTTACGGTTATTACAAACCGCTTACGGGTTTTTTTACGTTTTTCCCTGGTAATTAACCGGTTTAGCACGTTTAAACCATTTTTTTGGGCCATTTTTTTGGTTTTTATTATTTTTTTCCTATAATACCCCCGTCCTTTCCGGGTATTTACCCGCTAAAATTCGGTATTTTTTTTATCCTGTAAATTTGTTTTTAATAAATTTGCTTTATACGCTTAAAATTTTTTTTTCGTAATATCCTTTTTAAAAATTCACAAACTTTCCAATTTCTTATAATTTATCCATTTAACAAAGTATTTTTGCTTTTGCAAAAGCCTTTTATATTTTAGCAAAGCCTTTATTTTAAAGCGGTTTTTTTTTCCTTTTAATTTTTAGTCCTTTATTTTTTAACTTTTCGCTGGGTTTTTTTTAAACGTTTGCAACAAGCTTGCCGGAAATACGTTATATATCCGGTAATTTACAAAAAGTTTTAACCGGAACGCTAGCCCGGCCAACCCAATTACTTTTAAAATTTGGAAAGGTTTTAACCATTTATTTAATAGCTTTTTTAACGGCCTTTTTATTTTAATGTTTGCCGTATTTAGCAACACCCAATTGCTTACCCCAAAAAGCACCGGGGTTTTGCTTTTATTATAGTACTTTTTATACGTATTATTTGCTTTTTTTAACAATTTTTTAGCTTGCTTTTTAATTGCTTCCAAAGCCCCCGCTTTAATTTCGGCCGTTGCTAAAGGTTTTTTTTTAATTACCTAAAGGTTATAAAGCTTTCGTAAGTAAAACTTTATTAGCAAAAACGCTAAGGTTTTTTACAACCCCAAATGCACGCTTATATTGTGCATTTATGCTGTTAAATGCAATAGCAACGCCTAATCGTTTTGCTTTTTGTAACAAAAGCACCGGAAATAATGCTTTATTGCTTGGTTTATTCGTTTTATTTGCCCGTTAATTTGCGGGTAATACGCTGTTAAAAACCTTCCCGTAACCTTTAAATGTCCGGCAAAAATTGTCCAAAACCCGTTTGTAAATAGCTTGTTTTGGTTTAACACAATTTTTTCGGGTATTTTTAACAATTTTTAAACGTATATAAATAAAAAGCTCCTTAGTTTTTTATTGGTTAATTTCGTAAACGTTAAAATAAAAAAGCTATATTTAATAAACCGGTTTACCATTACCAATATTGCGTTACGCTTTTTGCCGGTTCCATTTACTAACGTTAAAAGCTTTTTAATAAAATTTATCGATAGCTTTTGTCCCGGGCGGTTTAGTACGGGCAACGGTATTAAAAACCCGTAAAGTGCTTGTATTTTTGGCTTTATTTGCTGGCATATTTAATACGTTCGTACGTATTTGCATGCTTTTTTAACCATACCCGGCTATTTAAATTGCCGTTTAAACCTTTTTAAAATTTTAGCTACCCCTTTATAACCCGCCGTTAAATTATTATATTATTTTTAAAGCATTATTTATTTAAACGGTGCTAAATTCGAAATTTAAACTTTTTTTTATACCGCAATAAGCTATTTTTGGCTTTTTAAACGTTAAATTTGTTTTTTTAAATGCCGTTTTAAACGAAATTGTTTGTTTTTTGTGCTTCGAAAATGCGTTGCAATATCGTTTTGGTATTTTCGTTAGTAATGGTTATTTTAATTTAAGCTATTATTTTAAATTTAACCAGCAAATTGCCCCGGAATTTTATTTTCGTTATTGTTGGAACAGCATTGCGGTGCGCGTGCGATCCGGAAAGGGAGGTTGTTACAAAAGGCTCTGGGATCCTCCGGATCCCGCACGGGCCAACTCTATCTGCTTTAGGCAAAGCAGGGAACCACCTTTTTGGGTAATCATCCCTGCGCATATAAGGGGCAATCCTGTGCCCTTCTTTTGGCAGATAGATTCCTTCCTCGGTGTGCACAATAATAGGATTTTCCCCAAATCATTAAGATCGTTGTTCACCTCTACCAGGAGATTTCCGAGCCTTAGAACAGGAGTACCAGACTCCTACCAACAGTTATATTAATTTTGCTATTCGCAAATATATTTTAAAAGCGTTTTAACAACCCATTTGCGGGGTTTTGGTATTTTGGCTTCCATTTAATTGTAAAATTATACTTTGCTAAATTTTCGAGCCATTTTATTTAGCATTTTATTACTTTTTTTTCGTTATTATATAAATATGGTTTAAATGGTTAGTAATTATTTTAATAATTTTTTGTAAATAAGCTAAATAATACTGCTATTTTTTAAAAGCTTTTCCGATTGCTAGCAATTTTAAATTAAGGATTATATAACGCAGCTTTTTTTGTTATAGCTTTTTCGATATATAAGTTACCGGGTGCTACCGGCCGTTTTGTAATTGCAGCAATACCGTTTTTATTGCAAAAGCTAAAGCGTTGGTTCGCATGCATAGCGGTTTTAAAAGGTCGAAATGCATTAATACCGAAGCTTTCGTAAATAGCAGCTTTTATTTGCAAAAAGCTTTTTTCGCAATATTTTTTAAATAAAATACGGTGTTTTTGCTAAAAAGGTTTGTTAAAAGCATAGTAATTTCCGCGTAACCTTTTACAAATTTCCGATAATACCCCGTAAAGCTTAGGAATATTTAAATGTTTTTAACGCTTTCCGGTATTTTTTATTTTAAAATTGCAATAATTTTATCCAGCAAGATTTTAACCCGAATTTGGTTATTTTAAACCTTAAAAAATCGATACTATCCGTTTCGAATTTGTATTTAACCGGGTTAACGTAAAGCTTAAACCGTTTAAATTGCTTTAGTACTGTTTTTATTGTTTCGCGGTGCTTTTTTTGTATTTTCGAAAAAATAAAAATATTGTTTAAATATACAATGCAATTGTTTTTTAATTAATTTTCCAAGCGCTATATTAATAAAGCTTTAAAACGTTGTTAAAGCGTTAGCTAAATTAAAAAGCATTATTAAATATTCGTAATGTCCGTATTTGCAACGGAAAGCGGTTTTCCATTCGTTCCTTTCCCGGATCCGAATCCGGTAATAAGCGTTTTTTAAATCCAATTTGGTAAAATATTAATTTTTAAATACCCGGTTAAATATTTTATAAATTAACGGGAATGCTAGCCGGTTTTTTTTAGTAATTTTGTTAAAATTTCGGTAATCGATACAAAAACGGAGCTTTTTATCCTTTTTTAAAATAAATAAAATTTTGGCGTTAACGGGATTGGTTAAATGCTAAACCCAACCTTTTGCTATGGTTTCGTCGAAATATTTCCGGAAAATTTTTAATTCCTTTTTGGATAAAAAATAAATGCTTTTGTAAAGCGGCATCGGGCCTCGTAATGCAGTGGCTCTGCACCAGGCCGGTCCCGCCAGGACCACGGGTTCGAATCCCGTCGAAACCACAAAGGACTTTTTATTCCTTAGCCGCCCGCCTTGCTAAGCCGGAAAAAGAAAAGGGCCGCCCCGCTAACGGGCTTCGCCCGAATTAATTTTTACCCACGTACAATTAATTAACAATTTCAACAATTAATTTAATTCCAACCCTTTTAACCCCAACCTTTCCTAACCCTTTTCGCACCATTTCGAAAGCTTAAAATGCAAAAGGCTAAGCCAAAAAAAAGGTAACGGGAAGGCCTTTGGGAAGGCCCAACCTTACCCCCAACAAGCGCACGCACAAACCGATAAATTCGATTACTATCCCTTTTTTTTTTAAATATTAACCACAAGTTTTAACCCTTTTGCAACCTTTAACCCCAATCCCAACCTTACCGCCCCAAATAGCCTAAAACGCAAAAAGCCAAACCAATGGGACGGTAACGGGAAAAAAAAGGGCCGGGTGCTAAAAAAACCAGGTTAAATGC